TGTGCCCAAGTAGTGATGGGTGGTTCACCTCTTGCCTCGCGGCGCTCTATGATTTGTTCCCACCAAATGAAGACATAGTCTTGGAACTTAAGGGATGCCATCGTGATCTTCTTCTCTTCATCATAATTGTGCAAACGGAAGATCTTGTCAACTTTCAATGCCCATGAAAGGTATTCTTTGGGATCGTTGCTTCCGTTGAACTTGGGCATGGTGAACTTGAGCTTGCCATAGCGTTGTTCTTCATTGTGTTGGGGTCGGGGATGATGACACCCATGTTGTAGATGATTGTCCAACTCGTGGTGTTCTTGACGCGGAGGGTTGTCAACCTCGTGTTGCTCTTGTCGTGGAGGATTCCCAATGTTTCCATGCTCTTGATGAACTTGATGGTCTTGGCGAGCTTGTGGAGGAGCGCGTCGAACTCAAGGAGGAACTATACGATGCATGCGAGCTTGAAATCGTCGTTCGTGAATTTCTTCGCGACGTGCTTCCTCTTCACGGGCTTGACGGCTTCGGTCGGCAATGGCTTGACTCGCATCGCGTAGAGCTTGTTGCGCCTCAAGTGCTTGAGCGTCACGGAGTTGTTGTTCTTGACGTTGAGCCTCGGCATTTTGTGCATTTTGGTGTAGACGCGCGCGTTCTTCCTCTTCATGTTGGCGTTGTTGTTGTCGTTCACGAGCTAGCGCAAAGGCTTCTTCGGCTTGACGTCGTCGGCGCTCTTGAGAGTCGGTGTCCCGAAGTGGATTGATGTTTGCTTGACGGTCGGTGCGCGCGGCTCGACGAAAAGTGTTCGATGTCGGTGTACTTGAGCCGGAGGGGGTAAAGTCGGAATGGCGACTTGAACGACCCCTTCTTGAAGTGGAAGAAGAGCGGTTGAGCAACAAAGCGCGAATCTCGTCCATCCTTGCGTCATTCTCTTGCTTGTGATCGTCGAGCTTGTGGTCGAAGTAGTCCCTTGTACGTTTCTCGGAAAGTCGCAAGTCGGGGGCAAGGTTGTCGATGCGTTCACTCATAGCTTGTTGCTCTTGATGCAAAGCACGTTGTGCACCAAAGAGGTGACTCTTGGTGACGAAGGAGTTCATGTCGTCGTCTTGCTCCATGAAGAGTGGGTTGGTAGAAGTACTTGGCCTATCCATCATTCCAAGACAAATGTGAGTGGTAGAAAGAGAAGAACGAATACCAAATGTACCTTGACCGAAGTTGAAAGTGAATCGATGATCACTCCAATGTAGGACAAGGAAATAGCCCAATTGGTACGAATTCTCGTCGGTTTCTCACACCTACATAAATAAAAGCTTATGGTGGAGCTTGGTTAGGATGGTGGCACAATTTTTAATGTGAATGTAAGCAAGATTCAATAATGTTGGAGAAGATTCGCAAGATGCAATGTAACAAGTAGACCAAGCATATACGGTACACGGAAACACACGCGCAAAGAGATAAGTGGGGTTGTGGAACCAAGGGTGAGCCAAAATGTGGAATCCACAAAAATGCTCTTGTTGCACAACACTAGAGAGACGCTAGCATGATTGCACGATAGGCGGATACAAGAACTTGTGCACAACCTACTTAGCAAAAATGCAACGACTTCTATCCCAAATATGTTTTATGCAAGGTGTTGCTATGATATGATCCAAGATGATCGAGTATGACAATCTTAATGTTGTATGATGCTATGGTTCTTGCTTAAAAGCTCTTTGCTTATCTTTCCTTTTTGCTTAAAAGCTTGGTTGGCTCTTTGATGTTTGAGCTCTTTTCTTATGCGATACTTGACGAACCAAGATAGCAAGTGAGTATGCGATGACAACTTTGTGACACAAGAGATGATACCAATATAGGCAACAATGATGTATGTATGTATGCTATGGGGAGTATGATCACTAATGTGCACAAGTCTCATTGCCGGCAATATTCAATGACTAGTCTCGATGGTAAGCAACGCAAAGGAGTAAGGCTATGATGGCTATCAATGTAATGGCAAGAGTAATATGTCCAATACCAAGATGAGGTTACCGGTCTTGCTTTCGGTATGGTGTCAAAATGATGGCACGAATACCAAGTCGTAGTCGAGGTGGTCGTTGTTGATGACCGGTGTTGATGACGCGTCCGTGGCGAAAATGAGCGGCGGTGATGTCGATGTTGAACCGTACCTAGATAGCCGAAACACAAAAGGATACGGTACCGCAACTCAAATTCTCAAAACCAAAAGCGACCAAAATCGTCGGAGTAGGTAGCGGTTAGGTGGTGGTGTGGGTTGGGATATTGGCAAAGATTGCGGAAAGTCGATGGTGTAGCGGATGAAGTGGTGGAAGTAGCGGTCGTCCGGTAGTGGACGGATGTCCGGTCGCCGGTCGTCCGGTCGGGTCGGACGTCCGGTGCTTCCTGGGTCGCCGGACGTCCGATGAAGTGACGGTCGTCCGGTGGTCGGGGTCAACGCGAGATTTCAGATCCGAGAGACGGTTTTGGGCGGAATATGGTGAATTTAGGAGGGATTTCGAGGTGGAGATGGTGGGGGAAGGCTAGATCTACTTGCAACACAACAAATTCACGGATCAAAACCAACAAAACATTATCAAAACTCACAAAACACAAAAAAAATTGGGGCTATTTTTGTGGGGATTTTCGGATTAGGACAAAAAACAACAAAATCAAGCTAGAAAACGAAGAGGAGGGCTCCGAAATCGTGATAAACCTTGCTCTGATACCAAGATGATGTAGGGTAGAGACCCTAATCGCCCGATCTTTCACGAAAGGAGCGGATCCCGGGGAAAACACGAAGAACACGAGGATGAACGGAAGGAAAACACAAGAGGAAATCACTAAACCGACACGAATAAGTCACACATGGGCTAGATCCTCGAGTACATAGAACGATACACGAATCCACGGACAACTAGGGACGATACACGGTAACCGGTTCTTCTCCGTGAGGAGGTCTTGAATCCACAAGGGGATCTTCCCTTATAAAGGGGTCTTGAATCCAAGGTGGATCTTCTCCGAAGAGGGGCCGCGGTCTCTCACGTGGAGTAGATCCGATATGGATGAGCAATGCTCTATCTCTCAAATGAGCTAAACCAATGCTAACCCTAGAAAGAAGGTGGGAGAGGTCTATTTATAGTCTAAGTGCAAATGGGGGCGAAAGTAGGGGTACATGGGCCTCGGGCCCGAATCTGGACGCAGCCAGGTACCGGACGTCCGGTGTCTCAGGAGCTGCCGGACATCCGGTGTTCTCCGGTCGTCCGCTGGTTCTGCTCTGTGATGGGGGTGCCGAACGTCCGGTAGCTCCGGACTTCCGCTGATGTTGGCTCGGGTGCTGGTGCGCCGTCCGCTCGTTTGCTTCGGGTGCAGGGGCACCGGTCGTCCGGTCTAGGCCGGTCTAGGCCGGACGTCCGCTCGCTGGGGTTCGGCTGAGGCTTCAGGCGCCGGACGTCCGGTCCCGGTCGGTCGTCCGGTGGCTTGGACTTTTCCTTCAGCCCTCCTTCTCCGTATTCTCGTCCATCTTCCTCTTCTTTTTGTCCTTACTCCTTAGCTTCGCCATGGTGCCTGAGTATGCACAAAGTGTCCATATGAGGTAGTAGCCATGCTTCATGTTCATCGAAGTGGAATTGTGAGAGGAGAGATGTCACCTCGGTTTCAAGAGCTCTTGCACGTGATCGAGTCATGGGTCCACTAGGCACTTCATGAGACGATGGTAGGTCCATGGGGATGACCTTGGGTGGAAGAAGACGATGCTCACCTTCTCTGTGAAGGCCGTGCGCTACGTCTTGAAGAATTGGTTGCACCGGCTCAGCCAGACCAACAGGTCAACTTCCCCATCATAGGTGGGAACTCCATCTTATAGAAGCGTGTGGGATGGTCATCCATTGCCTTGGGGTTGGTTGTAGGTGGGGAAAGTAGCCTGCTGTGCCCCTTGTCATCAGCGTGGGTGTTGGATTCTGGCTGCATGCTGTTCTCTGCTGATGGCCAGATTGCAGGCACAAACTTGCTGGCTGGTGTTGTGTAGATCATTGGAGATGCAGTCCAGACGTCGTGTAGGTGCTTCGTGATGGGGATAAAGGTGTAGTCGATCTTGGTGACATGTTCATTGGTAGCGGCCATGACCGAGTGTTGAGTTGCGAGTCCTCACCTTGATGTAACTCAGGCTTGTGTATTGCGGCGCACCTCACCAGACAGTGTCTTGCCTTCCCTCTTCTAGTTCTAGGTCAGCCACCACATGGGCTTGGGGTCTATGGGCCAGAGTGGTGATGGGCCAGGCCCATACCGGTTCAACACTCCCCCTCAAGAAGGGTGGTAAATATCGATCATCCCCGTCTTGTCACATGCCAAGTTACAGTCCTTTATTCCCAATCCCTTTGTCAAGCAATCTAGAAGATGCTGCTCATCCCCTTCATGTCATGCGAAGTTAGTGACATGAAATTTTGACCAAAAATTCGGAAGTGTCCAGAAAGATTGGCCACTTGGCCAGACCAGTTAATCAATGTAGCAGCAGCCTGACTGGTTTGGTCACCGGCCTGGTTTAAAAAAAATATGATACTCGTACATCAGTCACTAACGGTTCTTGTTTCAAGGGTGAATTGGATACCAGCATTTTGACAAGTTGCCAATATATTACTCCCTCCGTCCCAAAATAAGTGTCTCAACTTTGTACTAAGTTTAATACAAAGTTGTACTAAGGTTGAGACACTTATTTTGGGATGGAGGGAGTACTAAATTGTGCATCCCAGAGTCCTATTTTGCTGGGACAACTATGTCCGCAGCGAAGGTCATAATGTTATGCACCCCGAAAATGCACGCATCAATGGCGATTGAACCTTGAACAAATCTGATGGTAATGTGCTGTTTAAATTTTGTGTTGGAATCATGAATAAACTAGAAGACAACATGTAGTCTGGCTTACAGAGTATATCCATTTAGCAGAGCATACTAGGCAGCACAGTTATTTACATTGTTTCTATATAATTGTCAGATTGTTTCAAGTTTATTTTATTTTTTCCTACTTTCAGGGTATTGCAGAGTCTTGAAACTGAATTTGCAGGTTTAAAGGAGGAAATGGTATGTTCAGTATGCAGTAAGCATGTTTATGTTGTCATCTATTTTCTCAATGACCCTTTTATTAATTTATGGGTATCTCTAGTCAAAAATGACAGCACCATTGGCAGAACTGAAACCTTCTGATCAGAGAAAGTACAACACACGAAAAAGGGAGGTTAGATGCAGAATCAAGAAGCAGGAAAAGTTAATGAAAGGCATCTCTACGGTACTTTCTGCTTTTCAGCAAGCACTTGATAAAGTTTCTACCATTGAAGGAGTTGCCCTGATCCTGGGAGGGAGTCTTGTGCGACCTTTGTTTGTCTATGACATTACAGTTACTCATGGTAGATTTGATTCTGGAAGTGCCAAAGGGCATGGTACAACAAAGTTAGCTCAGTCTGTTTCTCGAAAGGTGAGCTTCCCTTTTTTAAATACTACATGATTATCATTTGCGTAGAGGCTAGGACAATTACTAGTATATGTCTTAGTTTTTTGAAAGCAGCATTTAATTAAGATAAAGATTTGACGTTTCTTTGTATGTACATCATTACTTTGTACATCAGATGGTCAAAATGAATAATTGCTACTCACAACTGTTTGTCATATACCAGAACGTTGGATTATTGCTCTGCCGTTTGTCATACTAGATGATTCCCGACACATTGTGCTGTGAATTGGTTGCAACATTTTTCTTAATGATATTTGATTATTTGGATCAATAATATGAGAACGAAAACTAAAAATACATTAATTTATTGTATGTAATTATTGAGGTGGGCATTTTCCCATGCATGTTTGCATGTTGAGGTGGGCATTTTCCCCTGCATGTTTGCATGTTGAGGTGGGTTTTTTCCATGCATGTTTGCCTTATGAGGTGGCATGTGTGCATGCTGAGAGAAATGAGTTAGTGGGGAGCTAGCTGTTTAGATATTGAAGATGACTGAGTAGTTTATGATGGAATATTGTTTTATTCTCTTCATTTATCACAAGTTATTGCCTTATATCCTCATATGGTGGAAACATTGTGCTCTTGGAATACTGACTTGCACATATATTTTTCTAGGCCGTCCGAGCTCTTATATCATGTGGTGCAGGGAGTTTATCTTACACAGGTATTAGTTATTCTGTTTTACTAGACTTGGCTGACGATGCATTCAACTTTTAGCTTACTGCTTCTTTACCCATTGTTTTGGAAGGCCCTACCAAGCTGTTTCTGCTGGTTAGATGTCCCTGTACATTGAACATACCCCTGGATTTCGCGCCAAAACGGGAATTCCGTTACAGTAAGAAGGTGTTGTACTTTTATGAAGGCTAACTTACTCTGTTTTTTATAACGTCCAATATTTTGAAGATAAAACACATGAACTAAAACTTTTACCAGCAGGTTGTACCCCAGCAAATGTCTATAAAATGCAATACAGCATACTACCAAAAGAATAATAAGCATGTTGCATCAATCGTGGATCCGTCATGTTGTACTTCAGAATCTTCTCCGTCAGATGTTATCTGGTATTATTTCTGATCATCTGCTGCCATCGATCAGTATCGTTAGCTTCTGCTGTTATTTTGCACCTTCTATATTTGGGACCGATAATTATGTGAGAGTTAGTATGGAGTGTATCTATCTATCTATCTATCTATCTATCTATCTATCTATCTATCTATCTATCTATCTATCTATTGCCTTTCTTTTACTGCATAATAATGTGCTACTCACAACTCAGGCTATGTTAATAAACTGCATGCATTCTTAGTGATTGCACTTGTGCAGAGGTAAATCCTTTGAAGTCGAAACACTACAGACATCTGGGCAGTGAACCTTGAATGTATATATTGTTTTGTTATGCTGTTAAATTGTTATCAAAGTGCTGAAACCTGTATTGGTGCTTGAGCTGCAATCTACAGAACTTATTCTTTCTAACTGAGTAAATCCGTATCATCTGTTATAGGTTCCAGTGCAAGCACACGATAAGAGGGTTACCATGCAAGGCGTCATTAGAAGGATGATGATCAGCTCATTTTCATTATCCTACAATCATGTATGTTACAACTGGAAAATGCTGTAGTGAGGTGAACACCGACCCTGACCTCAGCAATCTTCAATCCTAAATTGGTCTTCCCCCCTTTTCTGTAAGTGTTCACCAAGGATCAGCATTCTTCAATCTTATATCCCGCCCCCCTCCCCCCTTATGTTCGTTTGCACTGGAATGGTTTGGTGCTCAACGAAAATATTTTGTTTCCCGTGTGGGCTATCTATGAGCTGTCTTAAAAAAAATCATGCAGGTTACCCTTTTTATACTTGCGTTTAATCCGTTTTCCCCCATTTTTAGTGTTAGTTTTTTTCTTCCTGTGCGTCTATTTTTTTAATTGAATATCAGTACAGACAGCGATCATATATACGCGCATACATTCACTCCTATGAACGCACACACGCACACCCTACCCCTATGAGCACCTTGGAAAGACCGAGCCAGCATATCATTTTGAGATTTACGAAGTTGTCATAAGCGCCTCGTTGTCAACGGGAACGTCTCCTTTCATTGAATGCGCATCGTCGGAAATCCTGAAATAAATTCAGAAATAAATGCGAGCATTACCACAGTCCCTCTAACCATCCAATCATAGGTTGGTTCGCTTCTTCTTGTGCGCCTATGTAAGCTGACGTGTGTGAACTGGATCTATGTGTGTGTGGATGCATATGTCGGTGTGTGGGTCCATTTGCGTGTATATGTGTCTGGATGAGTGTGTGTGTGGAGGCGATGCCATCGACATGAGATGCATTTTATATTTGTTGTGTCAGATGATTAATCTCCGACGTTGTAATTTTATTGCTTGAATATTGAGTGCAAATTGTTAAAGCTTAATTAACATGTGTTAATTATGAAGGGAATCTCCCCTTGTACCAACCGGAGGTAGTTGCCAAGGCAACTGTTGCGTCGGTTCCTCCTGAACGGATGCCTCTTAAATGCATTTGTCTGTATAAATATTGGACGACGATAATTGCCACATATGTGACATTTAAGGGTGTATTTGGTTTCTGTCACGCATCGAAATGGCATGGTTTGGTTCCATTCCTAGATCCCGTTTTTGTGTTTAGATCGCCGAAGGAATCGGAACCTACCGATTCTAGGGAACGACATATTCCCTGATTATACTGAATCTAGGCGTTCCTCCAAATCAGCCGGACCACGCGGAACGCCTCACGGACCACGCGGAACGCCTCACTGGCGACTCTCTCCCCTTCCTCCACGACTCACTCACCCCGTGCCCCAACCACCCACGGCCTCTGCTCTCCTCTCTCCCTCGATGGCCATACCGGCTGCGGGCGGCCGTAGCACCTTCCCCTCAGCGGCACCATCTTCTGTCCCTGTCGAAACTGCAGCCTCGTCGGCGTTTCCTGCCCCTTTTCTCCCCTCCTCGAACCCAAGGATCTGGTGGAAGGAGGCGAGCACTATGTGCATACGTGGTGCCGAGCTCGAGTGGCTGGACGACATCGGTGCCGGAAAGAGAACTGGAGGAGCAAGTGCACTTCAGCCCGCCGTCGACTACATGGCTAAAAAAGAACCGAAGGAGCATGGCTGAATTTGGGTGGCTATTGTTGATCCAGATTTTGGTATTTGGGTGGCTGCTGTAGATATTGTGATCGGAGGAGCAAGTCTACGAGCAAGCCTAGAATCGCAAGCTGCAATTTTTTCTTGTAGCAATTAGTTCAGATTCAGACTTTGGTATTTGGGTGGCTGTTGACCCGTTGTTGATCTTGTGTTTCAGTCCGATTCTTATTCTTTCTGTTTCTCTACAATTTGTTTTTGACAGAGCGTGCTCAAGCCTTCGATTGAACAACAATATTTATCTGCTTTTGTTTGACTGAAATTCAATCCAATTTATGGTGAGATGAATAAATCCATTCCATTCCACATATCTCTAATTGAACACTAGAATGTAACCATTTCATTCCTTCAAATTGACGCTACCAAACATAAGGGCAAAACCGACCCATTCTAGTGGAACGGAACCATGACATTCCATTATACTTCGTTCCTGAACCAAACACACCCTAAGGGGTTGTGCTGCACACCCTGTGTGGCACGAAGATAACCCCACACGCACGACGGCATCCAGGCGCACCCAGCCATAGCTCGCACGTCCGGTGTGTGGCACAATCGCCCACACGTCCGGGCGAAGGACCCCGCTGCCCGCACAACCTAACGTGCCCGTCATCCCTACCTGCCTTCGAACCCTAGTGCGACCTGCCGCCGTCGTCTCCTACATCTCGATCCCCTACCTCTATCGTCTTACTTCTCTAGTTGCCATGGCAACTAGACCAGATCTCTAGCACCACCCCACCCCCCTCCCGATCGATGGAAAATGCGACGATGAGCTAACAGGTCGATCTCCGATCTCCTCCTCTTTCCGCTCCTTCTTCTGTTCCAAATAATTGCACTTCCAGATTGCCCACTAAGATGGCGACTAGATCCACACTGTCATGGCAAACACACCATGGATTTGTGTTTATTCCCCTTTGCCCACCAACATACGCAAGATTTGCCATATTCTATCCTAGATTTGAACTAAGCTTCTAGGTTGGGTTGTTGCGAGTAGTTGCTCAAGAAGGGTGTGTAGGATTCACTAAAAATCAGGTGAAGAAAGAAGGAATTTGGGTGGTACATAGGGAGGGAGAAAATTAATTGCCACCTATATTTGTCGTTAGTTGCCACCTATCTTTGCCGTTAGCTGCCACCATGTTATGTTGTTACTTGCCATCATATTATGTTGGTTGTTGCCATCGGTTCAAAATGATAGTTGGCATCTAGATTTTAGAAAAGAGAATGAAATGTGCATGTCCTACTTGCCATGATGTATTGGTTGTTTATGCAAGAAATCTGATAAGATTGCCGTGTTTTCTTTTATGTGCAAACAACAAGAATGCATTTCGAATATTCATGCGTTCTTGTTCATGCAGTGACTGAAAACACAGTGGGAGAAAAGCGGAAAAAATGAATCATCAAGACGACACTGATCCTTGGTTTTCTCAAAGGCCACAAGCGCCCCCTTGGGATGCAGCAGAGTACAATCAACTCATTTTTGCAGGGCCGTTGCTGCCACTACTAGAGTAGTATGCGAACATCAGTACGATGCATGATCAAAAAAGGAGCAGTTGACATGTTTGTAGGGAGGAAAAATGGCATTCTACTTATGTGCTACAATGCCCTTGTTCGCAGGTTCTTATAACACAACCGCACACACATGGATACCACGGCAAGTTCCAACACAGGGCGCTAACGCTGATAGATGTACGGGAGACCAACTTATAGTAGCCAATGTGGCAAATCAAGGTAACACATATGAAAAAAGCATACTGATGTGGCCAAGAAAGAAAACTTGCAAGGATGGCAAGGACTTACGAGTTTTTTGAAAAAACGCAGGACCATCATGCAGCACGTGGCAACAGGCGGCAACCGGGTACTTGCCATCAACGTCGTACACAGGTGAGTCGTATGAAGTGATTTTGTGGATAGTGAATCACAAAAAGGAACACATGTGACATTGGTGTTTACGCGGTGTCAAGACAAAACACAGTTTGATGAGGACATCAATACCATTGTTACACCCACAGCCCCTATTGTTACATATACTGGACCAATTACTAGAGCTCGCGCACGCCAATTAAATTACCAGGTACTTTCATTTCTTGGTAATGATTCTAATGTTCATGAGATTATGATGCTGCCTAAATTGGATACATTTGTTTTGCTTACAAATGAAGGGCCTAGCTTGGAGAAGGATGAACATTGGAGCAAGAACACACATGGAGTTGATGGCATGCGCAAGGGGATTAAGAACAGAGTTACAAGTGATGATTTCAGGACTTTAAAGCCGCCATAAGGAGTGCATGAAGCCTTGGACGAAATATACAAGATGCCACTTCATAATATTCATCCATAGGCTATTCTAGGTGCTGCGTCACCTTATTAATGGGCCAGGCCCATGTAATTTCGAAATACTTAAGTATAGGCTATTTTTAGAGTCCGTATGTATGGGGAAACAAGAGTTAGGGTTGGTTTCGGACCCCACCCTCAAGGGCCACGAAATTCCCCCCTCTTCCTCCATATATACAGCCCTTAGGGCGTCGTTTAGACTTTGGGTTTTATTTAGATCAAAAGTTCGCCATAGCTGCAACTTCGCGTACTTCGTTTGTGTCCAACGACCAGACCAAGACGTCACAGAACCCCACCTTGATCAATAAAGCTTTCATCTTATATTCGCAATATCCAGATTGCAATCTCAGTTTCTTGCTTGTTCTTTGTTTGCTCGTAGGAAACAGACCCTCGTGGTCAGGTTGATCGTGCTCCGGCGTGGTCAATAACCCTCGGAAGTTGGTTTAGCGATTGCTAAGGCGCGGCGTCTCGCACGATCGTAGTCGGATCGTCAAAGTCGACTCCCATAGAAAACGATAGCCACCATCTCATCAAAACATCGGGACCCTCGCCTCTATCAAGTGGTATCAGATTTCCAGGTTGCTCGGTGAGATTTTACAGTTGTTTGTAGATTAGATCGAGTCTGTTCTTCATACCTACAGTCCACGAAAAAGCCACAAAAAAATTTTAGGGTTAGTTCATCATATCCGAACCAATCTGAGCCTTTGCATAATCTTTTTAGGGTTTTTGCTTTGTTGAATTTGCGGTTGCATCGTCGTGTCAAGTTGCTGGTCTTAGAGTCTAGTCTTTTAGAGTTTCGAGTTCTGGTCATAAGTTGTCACGCCGCCGCCGCACCATCATCATCGCCCATCTACCACTTTTGCTTATCCGCCACCGCTCTGAATCCATATCCATATACCACCACCAATCCGTATCCATATACCACCACCAATCTGTATCCATATACCACCACCGCTACCATATACCACCACCGCTGCCATATACCACAACCATATATCCACCACCAATCCGAGTTCTTCTCATATTAGGTTTGTTCTTGAGATCAATCTAAATTCCGATTCGTGTTTCCTT